GTTTAAATTGTTCTTAATACTTTAATTGTCTCGATTCCCCTCAATCTATGAATCGTTTCAGTTCTTCTTAATCTTTGAATCGTCGCAATACTCTTCAGTTCTTGAGTCGCCTGAATTCTCCCCGATTCTTCGAGCGTCTCAATTCTCCTGAATCCTTGAATCCTATAAATTCTCATCCATTCTTAATCCTCCACGATTCTCGTCAATCCTTGAATCGTCTCAACTCTCCTCAATTCCCGAATCATTTGAAATATCCTCAATTCTCGTCAGTCATTGTTTAGCGTCGATACGCTTCCCACACCCACATTCGAGACACAGGTTAAGATTACACGTGTATGGAGGCTAAACCAACGACCGCGCATGCGTTCCCTTGAAGTTATTCCTCCCGCTGCCTCCTAGGATCGATGCTGCCATGTCGGTCCCTCATCTCTAATAAAAACGAGTAAGAAAATGAAAACTCTCTTTCATTAATACTGTCTATGAAGTAGTGTTGGGGCTCGCAACACGGAACGTGACACTATCTTCAATTCTTGAATCATCGTAAGTCTCAGTTCCTTAATCGTTTTAATTTTATTCGATCTTTGAATACTCCCAATACACGTGAATCGTCTCAAGGATCCTCCGTTCTTCTATCGTCTCAATTCCACTCGAATTCTTTGTTGCAATTCAGACGTTAAATCCTTTTCTTCCTAATCCATACTCTTTAATCCATAAGTCGTCTCAGTTTTTTTCCATTTTTAATTCATATCCATTACATTCAATCCGTAAACCGTCTAAGTTTACCTCCATTCTTGATTCTGCTCCATTCTCGTCAATCCTTGAACTGTCTTCATACATTATTACTTCGCATTCATTCTCTTCAGTGCATGAAGTGTTTCAATTTCCCTCCATTCTTGATTCGCTCCTATTTTCTTCAGTCCTTGAATACTATCAGTTTCCCATCATTCTTGATTCGCCTCTATTCTCTTCAGTCCTTGAATACTCACAGATTTCCTCTATTCTTGTTTCGTTTCCATTCCTTTCAATCCTTGAATCGTTTCCATTTTCCTCTGTTTTTGATTTCCCTGTATTCTCTTCACTCATTGAATCCTCTCAAATCACAGTTTTTGAATCGTTGCAATTCACCTCAATCCCTGAATCATCTCAAGTATCCCTCACTTCTTGGTTCGCCTAAAATTCTCTTGAGTTCACCAACCGCGACAATACACTTAAATCCGTGGTTTATATCAATTCTTCTTCCTAAACCTTTGCACAGTTTTTAATCCTCAAAATGAAGTGCATCTCAACCATCCTGAAAGATTGATTTGACTCTGTTATTGTGTTTGCATTATTTCTTAGAGTTTACACATGAGGCATGTTTTGTGCTTTTGGATTTTGAAAAATCTTTGTATGCTAGTAACTAATTTGATATGGGCAAAATTTAGTATGCATATTTTGATAAAATAAATAACGGATATCCGTTGTATTATGACTGTTAGCAAAGCTAGTATCACAAATTCATACTAGCAAAGCTAATCTTCATTGGGCATTCTCATATTCTATCGAGACAGAAAATCATTGTAAAAACGGAGCACTGTTATTAAGTTAGTTATTATCAACTGATCCGATTAATTCCACGCCGATCATAGATAAATATCCAGAAATATATGGCTAAAATGCCATGACAGGGTGGATGGTCATTCCTAAAATAGTAATTCCCTTTGTTGATCAAATTTCGTGAAAGAGATATAAGTATAGGGAAGAAGATAGATATAAACATAGATAAGGAACAATGATAGATAGATAGATAGATAGATAGATAGATAGATAGATAGATAGATAGATAGATAATGGACAGACTGAGATAGATAGATAGATAGATAGATAGATAGATAGATAGATAATGGATAGAGATAGATAGATAGATAGATAGATAGATGAGATAGATAGATAGATAGATAGATAGATAGATAGATAGATAGATAATGGACAGAGATGATGGACAGATGAGATAGATAGATAGATAGATAGATAGATAGATAGATAGATAGATAGATAGATAGAAATAAAGTGATGCGGAAAGATATAAACAAATGAGATAAATATAAAAAAGTGATATTTATAAAAAAAGATATAAAAATGAGATAGATAGATATATAGAAACAGATATAGATATAAAGAAAGTGAGATGTATATAAAAGGTATAAGCAAAATGAGATAGATAGATAGACAGGCATGAACAAAATGAGATAGAAACAAACTGATATGTAGAGATAGATACAAACAAAGTGAGATAGATAGATAGATAGATAGATAGATAGATAGATAGATAGATAATGGACAGACTGAGATAGATAGATAGATAGATAGATAGATAGATAGATAGATAGATAGATAGATAGATAGATAGATAGATAATGGACAGACTGAGATAGATAGATAGATAGATAGATAGATAGATAGATAGATAGATAGATAATGAACAGACTGAGATAGATAGATAGATAGATAGATAGATAGAGATAGATAGATAGATAGATAGATAATGAACAGACTGAGATAGATAGATAGATAGATAGATAGATAGATAGATAGATAGATAGATAGATAATGAACAGACTGAGATAGATAGATAGATAGATAGATAATGGACAGACTGAGATAGATAGATAGATAGATAGATAGATAGATAGATAGATAGATAGATAGATAAATGGATAGATGAGATAGATGGATAGATAGATAGATAGATAGATAGATAGATAGATAGATAGATAGATAATGGACAGACTGAGATAGATAGATAGATAGATAGATAGATAGATAGATAGATAGATAGATAGATAGATAGATAGATAATGAACAGACTGAGATAGATAGATAGATAGATAGATAGATAGATAGATAGATAGATAATGAACAGACTGAGATAGATAGATAGATAGATAGATAGATAGATAGATAGATAGATAGATAGATAGATATAAACAAAGTGAGATCGATAGAAATGAACATAGGAAAATCGAAATGAAAACCCAAGATCTTCAGTAATTACTTTTGTCTAATGAACCGTTCACCTCTGTTGAGTGTCAACTAAATTCTTACTCATTTTATATTCATAACTTTCTGATTCACTGATTTCCATTTGAAACGTTAAGTTAAACAAAATATGTGAAATGCACAAAACTTATCCTTTTTGATTTTTCGCTGCTCTTGACTAACCTGTTTTTTCATTGCCAGGAATTTCTGCACAGTATTCTTCGAATTCAACATTTCGTGCGTGGGTCTTTGAGATGGATTTTGGAGGAACTACTTTGATTTTCTCTGAACAATTCTACTAGTTGGGATATCGTTGTACCATATAAGCATGTCTTTTTATTTGTGTGTTACTCTCACTCTCTGCTGAATCCTTCTCACTTAAATGCGGGAAAACCATATATAATTTTTATATATCAAGAGCAATTTTAGGGAAATCTATCACAAAGTGGAAAAAAATTGTCTGTCTCGTTTCGTTCTTTAACATTTAATTCGACTAAAGTGTTATTTACCTTGATGCATCTACACATACGTATCAAGGAGAAGGAACACCGAGAATTTTAAATTTTAATTATTTTTTTTAAATATGTATTTTGGCCATATCGTCTAGCCGAGTTCATTTAGTTTCTTTTTCTCTTTGTTTATGTCTTTATCGCTTTTGCTATTAAATATCCCACAGAACTGACAAGAAAGGTGAAATGTTGTAATGACCCAGCAGTAAATTTACTATGGATGATCATTCATTTTTATAATCATTTCACCCCAAGCAAAGCGGGAATGCCACTAGTATACAGGGGTTACAATGAGTGAAAATGAGAGAAAAGATTGGGTAAAGGAAATATTGAGGAAAGGACAAAAGTTGAACGTGAATAAAGAAAATGGAAGATGGCGATTGACGTTGCATTTAAATTTTTGAAGATTGTATTTATCAGGGAAGAAAGTAAACGGAAGGGAGTTCCACAGGCGCGAAGTGCGAGAAAAGAAACTGTTAGAGTAAAAGTAGTGGTTGCAGTTAACTATTTCAACAGTAAGAGGGTGGGTCATATATGTCAATCTAGTAGCATGCTTAAATCCATGTAATTGGGTCACAAGGGAAGAAGAGTAATTAAACGCTTTCTATATATTCTGGTTTTAACAAAGTGTTTTCTCTTTTAATTAAAGTGGCGTTTTTTAAAACCAAAAAATCGTCAGACTTATTACAGTGAACGAATAATGCATTAAGTGTCCTGTTTAGTAAAAGGAAAATACTTATATGGTGGACTCTCCCGTCGTATTCGACGTATGAGGGTCAAATCATATGTGCTGGGCTGTCGGTTTCTAGGCACCAACAGTCCAGACACCAGCACATATGATTTGATTATAGTGGTGAAGGCTTTGTGTAGAACTAACCACATTTTTGAACGGCCGAATACAGAGACCTGGTGCACTACGTACCACAAGGTTTCCAAATAACCTTCCGCATGTTTTAAATTTAGAGTTGTTCTTCTAAAATAGTTGCCATCCTAGGCTATAGAACCCAAACTGTCCTGCTGGAGGAAGAAGAAGAGGATTAATACCTTTCCCAATGTAAGTGAATGTAATGGATTTGACTGGAATTCGAACTCGGCTCTCCGATTCCTCAATCTGCTACCCACTTACTCCAACGTATATATAATAATTTGTTTTATCGCATTTCTGCAGAAATATTAATTCTGGAGTGAATACTGTTATCATCTTTTCCACGTACTTAACCCAACTTTTCTTAGCAATAAATAATGATTCTCTTCATACTTTCTATCGCCGTGATTGTTAGGATAATTGTTTGTTTTTTATTTGCCGTCCATCACATTAAAGAATAGACACTTTACTGTCGTCGTCGTGGTGGTAATAATAGACTTGACTTTTGTTGCTATTAATTATATTATTCCAACTGATACGTCTTATTTGCATCCTCTTACGAGACGGAAGCTGTAGCTGGGGGATTATCTATCCTGCTGGGCTTCTCACATTAAAACGCCGATTCTCGTACGATCATCGAAGTTAAGCAACGTTGAGCCTGGCCAGTACCTAAATGGGTGACCGCTTGGGAATGCCACGTTTTTTTTAGCTTGGATGTGCATATGGTGTAATGGATAACTGCTCGGAGTTGGAAATCGGGGAAACAAGTTCGAATTCCATTCGAGTTTCTTATATTGACATACGTGCAAATACCCTTGGGAAAGGCATGTATCCACCCCTTCTCCCCCACCAGCTATGGGTTAATTATTAGTATTTGTATCATTAAATTATTATTACCCACTCCCTAAATTCTTACAATCTAAAAATATTTTCTGGCTTTGAGTAATCTGCAAAAGGGTTGGTAAGCCGTAAAAAACAAATCAATTAAGCAATCATCCTTCTTGCCCTGTACACAATTCTTCTCGGTACAAGTTCATATTCAATACAGTATTTTTTTTTAATAAATTTCTTTTATTTATGTTTTATTGATTTTTTTTAAAATGTTAATAAATCCTGAAACATAGTAACATTAACAAATTCGATTAGTCTTTATTTGTTTCTTACTACAAGATTTTGAACAAAGACTAATATAGTGTAAGCGTTAGTAATAAAACTTTTATGACAGTAAGAAGTCGCAAAATACATTTGCATACCAAAACATTTTGTCACAGACGTGATGTGGCTTCGCTTTGTCCGTTCTACAAATATTTTCATGGCGACTGCTCTTACGAGCTATTTTCACTGATTCCCAGACTAGGTTGGCATCTTGGTCCCACCCTTTTACTGTTGAAACAGTTAAATGTAACCGCCTCTTCTACTCCAACAGCTTCTTCTCTCGCACTTCCCGACTGTGAAACTCCCTTCCTCTTACTTGCTTCCCTGATAACTATAATCCTCAAAAATTTAAATGTAATGCCAATCGACATCTTCTGATGCCTTGATCTTGATCCTCATTCTTCTTTTTTATCCTTTTGTGGTATTGTGTTTTTTTTTGTTTTTTTTTAGTATCTGTTAGCGTTCCCTACATATAAGATTCATACAGATACATCTCAATCCTGATAATTTTCACTGTAAAATTTTATGTAAACATAATATTATAAGTAAGCATAATATGTAAACATAATTTGCAAACATTATATGTAAACAATCCGTTATTTCTTATATTGATATCTCTTTTCTTTTACGAACACAACACTGACGCTTTTATTTTTCTTTCTCTTTGCGTTCAGTCATCTTCTACCTGGGAAGAGCCACTTTATGGAACAGACTGGTTAGTTGGCTGATTTGTTTAACAGCATATCAACTCCTTGATGGGTCATTCAATGCCGAAATTTAATTTCCTTGTGAGCGTTGAAGCAAAAAAATATAGGTTATTCTGCTTTCACAATTGAATACATGGTAGATGATACGCAGCTTGCGTGAATATACATGTTTGTGTGGAATTAATTACTAAAAGCGGTGATATCTGTGTTTTATGCTGTAGTTTTAATGAGAGTTATATTTTGAAATAAAGTTTGATTTAAGAAATTGTATAATATTATATGGATTAATGTCATGAAAGTTTATTCATGTTGTTTTGGTGATTGGTTGATTTCGTTTAGCGGCATAAACCACGTATGCGTTACTTAATGCCGAAATCTGAACACAATTTTATGGCTTCAACTCAATATAATTTTAAGAATTTTTTTACCGCCCACATCTATAGTAAATATTCAGAAGTATAGCGTGACGTCCCCCGGAGTCGCTGCGCCAAATGTGACGTCTGCCTGTCTCCGCGCCGTCGCCATCCTATCCTGTCCTGTGACGACCAATGTGACTTGGCATTGGTCGCGGCACCAAATGTGACGCTCTAACCTTTTGCTGATTCGGATGGGAATCTGGTTAGATTCGGTATCAGCCTTGTCGTTTCCAGCTCGCCTCCAACGTCTGGTTACCGAAGTAACTGTTTTGATTTCTAGTCTAACCTACCCACGTTGTGATTTGATCTTAGGTAGACGAAATCAATCAGTCGCCGGGCCGTAATGCAAGTCGAGTCCGAACAAGGGTAATACCGCACAAGTATATGTAAAAGAAAATAAAGTAATAACTCAAAAAGTTCAAATGTGTTAAAAAGGAATAACAATATTTTATATCTGGTTGCTGAATACAGGACTGCATCTTCCTCCCAAACCGCTAAATATGGATCGTGACACTTTGTGTTTGTTAGGCGAGTCTTACCATCTTAAATTGTTCTTTTAAGAAACTGGTTTTGGTGTATCTTCAGGCGATATTCGTAAAATTTGTTTTGGTAGTGTGAGTCTAAGTCGTTCTTCAAAAATAAATTGTTCTTGGTTAGAAGTTGAGGTCGTGATTGCGTGGAATCTTAGTCAGCTTTCTGCGAGGCAGTCTGCGAGCTCTCAGCTCACTGCAACTGCTTGCCTATCTGTACAACCCAAACTGCTCAGCCGCGAACTCCTTAATTCAACTCAATTCAACTCAGGTGCGAACTACGAACTCAACTGCTTTCTACTCGTTGCGACTCTGCTTATATGGACGCCGACCAAAACCGGGGTGGGCCTGTCGGGGTTTGAGGTTCCTTGATAATTCTAAATCCGCATTAAGGGTTTTTCTTTGTTCTCAGTCAGGAAGAATTATTAATTTCCATTTTTGGAAGTCTTTCGTCCTCCCAAATTCTTCCTTTCTCATATTAGTATCTCACCCATACCCTCAGAGGGTGTCAACGAGTTTCCCCTCACTCTCACAGTGGCATCTCACACCGATCCCTTCAGGTGGGGCGTCAACAGGCCTCTCCTCCTTCTTCACATGATTACCTTCGCCTACCGCTCACGCCACCATTCAGCCAATGGGCGCTCAGCGGCGTGGGTGTGGCCGGACTAGCCTCGGTTTAAAAAATCTTGCCCAAAGAAAAAAAAATTATCTTCCTTTTTCTTTTTTTTTTTTTTTCACGCAACCCTAAATAGTGTCACAATAGCAAAATTGTTTGGTAAAAGGTTATTGTTCTTCTCTGTGCCGTGTCTCTTCAGGACGTAAGCAAAGATGGCTCGACACAATTTCCTGTCGTTTGGAGTTGTTTGTTACTGATTCATAAACTGACGTTATGATATCAGAGTTACCAAATAACACTGACTTAAGCGCATGCTTTCCACTACAGATAAAATATGTTGTTGGCCATTTTACTATATGTATTGTTGAACTTTATTTTTTTATATATATAAAAATGCATTGCTGGTATTTTTACAATTAAAATTCATTTTTATACTTTGATAGTGTTTTTTTTATTGTGGGGGGGGTCATAATTTGCCCATACCTTGGACCCTAACAGGTGCTACCACCCCGGGTTATGGTGAACCTGGGAACAACAACAATTAAGTGGTGTTTCAGGAAACAGACTGCCATTCTATAATTACTTCCACCTCTTACGTCTATACAACAACTTCTTAGGGCACCTCGAGTCGGTGTAATGCTTAGCAAGCGTGTCTCGCTAGAACAAGTGCGACTGAGTAGTGAGTTCGATTCTCACTGGGGGCCCCTTACTTTGGGCCTTGTACCACATCCAAGCCACGGTTGGAAAATCACTTCTTTGGGCACCTCAACCTAGTGTAATCGTTAGCAAGCTTGGCTCGCTAGAAAAATTACCACTGAGTAGTGAGTTCGATCCTCACTGGGTGCACCTTACTTTGGGCTTTGTACCACATCTAAGCTACGCTTGGAAAATCACTATACATCAACTTCATTCAGTAAAACTGTATATTGTTGTTCTTGGGCCTTGTGTAAGGCGAGCATTTAGTAAAATAATAATAATAATAATTTCATCATTGACTGATTTAAATCTTTTATTCAGAAGTTTGTCTATTATATAATTTACTGAACATTTGAAATATCAATGAAATTTTTCTTTCAGGTTGCCTCCTGCAGGAATTCAGTTCTTCGATGAGTTCACCAGTAAATATCATCTTGGCATGTTACTTCAAAGGTGCCTACATAGCTTTCCTTTTACAACGGTCGTTCCAAAACGTTTTTGCGTCATTGCCCACTTTCACATCAAAGAATTTTTTTACCGCCCACCTCTATAGTAAATATTCAGAAGTATAGCAAAATTGTTTGGTAAAAGGTTATTGTTCTTCTTCTCTGTGCCGTGTCTCTTCAGGACGTAAGCGACGATGTCTCGACACAAATTCCTGTCGTTTGGAGCTGTTTGTTACTGATTCATAAACTGACTTTATGATATCAGAGTTAACAAATAACACTGACTTAAGCGGCGGCTACTGCTGTTACCGTATTAAAGAACAAATAAAAGCAAACTTAACTATTGATAAGTATACATATATAATTGAGTTTTATGATCAAGCTTAGTATTATGGTGGGGTTAGCGTTGCAAGTGTTGACAAAAGATTAAACGATTTTTGTTTACAATTATAAAATGAAATAGAATATACCTTACTGGCAACTAAGAAAATTTTGGAGTATATTTGTTGTTGTTATTGATCTTAACTTATCTGATTAATATCCGAATAAAATTTTATTTCGTCTGAAGAAATATATAAATGTTAATAATCCTATATATCACCACTCTTTCGCTAAAAGATAGCAGACCATGTGGAAAAAGGCTGCAAACTTGGCGAAAACAATTTTTTATTGTCTAAATGTTTATGTTATTCTTAAGAGGAAAGTCCAAAGTATTTCTGGTTATTTTATTAATTTTTTTATTTTTATTTTTTTCATCCTTTTTAGAACATTCGAAAATTTGAGCAAAAATCTTGATCTTTTTTTCGTTAGCGGAACACATTAAAATCGATTATATCCGTCATTTTTGAGAAATTTGTCAGGGTTTAAATTTTTGAGAAATTTGTCAGGGTTTAAATTTTTGAGAAATTTGTCAGGGTTTAAATTCTCCGTTTAAATATCCTGTAAATATAAATTATATCTTTTTCAAAAGTTATTCGAGGAAAATTAGAAAATTTAAAGTTTAATTAATCCCATTGGAAACAAACATTACTAACATTTTTTATTTTTTAGCAGAGAAATTTGGTTGAAAATAAGAGAAGTATGTCTTAACTGCGGTAACTTGTTTTTGAAGTGTTAACTAACAGTTACATCGAT